CCAGCGCAGGGGGCCATTTCTCGATTTGCGGATGTCCCGAAGGACTTTTTTTTTTTTTTTTTTTAAAAAACAGCCAACCATTTCATTAATTTCCGAATCGGGTTCCTCACAGGCTACCCGGAAACGATACTGTGGGAGAGCACCGCAATACCCCCAGATTTCGCTTGGAGACATCAAAATCTTAAGATGAGCCCAGGACCAGAGGCCCTTGTTTCCATACTTATTATGCCAATTACCTACCAGGGAACGGCTTCCTCCTCACGATCCCACCAGGGAAGGGCTTGAAAAAAAAAAAAAAAAAAAAAAGAGGAGTCCTTTGGGAGGCGGCCGCTCAGGCGCCGCGTTACTGCCACAGCACCTTCGAGCAGCTACGGCAACGTGTTCACCCGAATAGAACGCATGGTCATTTTCGCTGCATCTAGACTGAAAGTTGCGCCAAATACGGCTACAACGACCATACGGATAGAACGNACGACCATACGGATAGAACGAACACATGGTCATTTTCGCTGCATCTAGACTGAAAGTTGCGCCAAATACGGCTACAACGACCATACGGATAGAACCAACACATGGTCGTTTTCGATGCATCTAGACTGAAAGTTGCGCCAAATACTGCAATAACGACCACAGGGATCTATTTGGGGGAAGACGGTAGTTGTGGTTGCATGCGTACGTGCGTGTGGAATCCATGACAGTATGTCGAAGCATAACCGCAAAACAGCATTTCGGCCATTTTGGAAGGAATGTGGACGTAAATGCGTTTAAATGCATGCAGGAAAGACTTAGCCTGTTCGCCAGGTGGAGAAAGCGCATCTCTTTGAAGATGCATGTCGAATGCATTGAGAAAAAAGTCATAGCCTAGTATCGACAAGCTGATCAAAGCGCATCTCCTTGAAGATGCATGCCTCTGAATCTATCTCTGAGTCCATGAAGGAAGATAGGGTCCAAAAGACACAAGGCTCGCCCCAAAACAAGTCGAACATATCTCTGAGTGGGAATGTCGAATCACATCGCGATTGATAACAAACAGGGCCCCCCCCTCAGAAAACATAGAGCGTATCTCTGAGTCCGTTATGTTGGGGCGGAAGGGGAAAAAAAAAAAAAAAAGACAATTTTAAGGAGTCGAGGGAAAAGCTAAGGAGCGAAGACAATTTTAAGAAGACGAGAGGGAAAACTTCTCCATGTGTTATACGGGACAGTGTCATGCTGGACCCTGGACTCTGCCAAGTAATCAACTAGTCATTCTCAATTAATCAATCAATCAACCGATCGATCAATCAATTCATCAATCAATCATCGACAAAAAGACAATCAATCAATCAATCAATCAACCAACCAACCAATCAATCAATCAATCAGTCAATCAATCAATCAATCAATCAATCAATCAATCAAACAATCAATCAATCAATCAATCAATCAATCAGCCAATCAAGCAGTCAATCACGCAGTCAATCAAGCAATCAATCATTCTGACAGACAAACAAGTAGGCAAGCAAGGATGCAAACAAGACGGGAGGACAACAACTTACATATCGAACCGGTCGCGATCCCAATCGAGGGACCGAATGGTCGTCGTGTCTGTCGCAATAGGAGCAGTCTGAGTCTGAAGTCTCTTCCCACCCGTCCACATCACCACTTCAGACATCTCGATTGGCTCAGCCGCCAGCACGGCCATCGCTTTGACGCCTGCCGCGTGGCGCCACGCCCTGCCTTCTGCTTCCCGTTCACTTTTCCTTTCCTGCCCGAAGGAGGAGGCAGAAGAGCTCCGTCGGCAGACTGCATCTCCGGAGAAGGACGACGAAAGGGTGGTGGGAGACGTGAGAGCAACAGCGGCAGCAGCAGATTGAGATTTAGCACTCAAGCGGTCACAGAGAAAGTCAGCAGCCATAGCCGGAGCTCGATGGGAGGTGGAGACCTCACGGCCACCATCTCTCCTCCTCAGAGAAGGACTCGAGACCTCCTGCCCCGGCAGGGCTATGGTGAACTTCAGCGAGCACGCCATCGCCAGTGGGCCGACAACAGTTAACCCCAGCTCACTCCCGGCCCTTCAGCGCGACCCGTATGCAGTATGACGAATACCAAAACTCAGCCTCGTTGGCAGGACGCTCGGCGCGTAGGATGGATAATATGCCTTCCAGCACCAGTCAGCCACGTGGCTTCGGACCTGCCACATAGGATAAGTGTACACCTTACCTGGCGGCACGGAGATGTGCCTGTGACTGACGGGGGCGAAACTTCCGTCAGGCACCGGGCATCAGGCTGATTTCTCTCTTTGTTCCACACAGCACTCACGCCCCCTCTCTACAATGATCGGACCACCAAAATGATCGGCACGGACAACGATCGGCCGCCTCCCTCCTGGAGCGAACTCCCCCACTTACGCAGATTCTCCGGTTGTCACCCACCGTCCATTCGATGAAGATCGACGGCCTCAAGGAAAAACCATCCGAGCAGGTGGGACGTGCCGCTAGGACCTCGAGCCTCGTCGGAGGACAACGATCGGCCGCCCCCGGAGAACAGCGATCCGCCTCAAAAAATGATCGGAAATGATCAGCCGCGGTCGGGGCACTTGCCAGCAGGGTCACGCCCAATGCCGCCAGCTAACTTCGAACCCATGTTCTGGTTACTTTTTTTTCACTCTTTTTTTTTTTTTTTTTTTTTTTGGGGGGACAATTTCTCGATTTATGCGTGTCATCCTTGCGCAGGGGCCACGCTAATTTTGATATGGATTGTTGTTGTTGTTGTTGTTGTTGTTGTTGTTTTTGAAAGAATTTCCTTACTTTTTTATTAGGGCCCAGTGCCCAAGGCAACATACAACATATGAAAAGAGTTTCAGATTCAGGGGTCCCAAGGTCTCCAACCCTTCTCTGTGAGGTGGAGCCCCTTCCCTGTAGCCAAAGGCAGGAGTTCAGTAAAAAATTTACAAGCTTCCAAAAATAACTACCATTGATTAAAAAACTGAAGTAATGCCTACTAATTAGCAATACCTACGATACCAGAATTGTAAAAAAAGGAGGAAACTGCCATCATGGCAATATATATATATATATATATATATATATATATATGTATATATATATATATATATTTCTATATCTTTTGCCTTCCAGTACCTACTCCTAAGACTATCTAGAGGGGACCCCAGCAAGCATAGTTTCCTCTCTCTGTGAAGGGGAGATTTCATGTTGCCCCTTGCCCCTAATGGTTAGGGTATAGGGTTGGGGCCGCCAGTGGGGGTCTGGCTAACACAAAGACCGAGACCTGTCAGTAGCTGTGCCTCCCTTTCTCATCGTCCCCCACCCTTCATCGAGTAGCAGCAGAGGCTATGGCCAACACTCTCCCACACACCACACACAACCC